GTTTGGTATAATGCAATTTAAATAATTTATTTATTACTAAAATTAAATTAAATTTTTATTCAATGGCAGAATGTTTCACCACCACATGATATTCATATTTTTTTTTTTTTTGAAATTATTCCATTAATTTGTTATAATTCTTAATACAAAGATTAATACATCCGGACGGATTCGAACCGACTTCTACTAGCAATCCGTGCCAGACGCTATGCCAACGGAACGAACCAACGAATCTAACCAATTTTTCTATGTGCTTGTTGCCGGATCTTTGTGTTTGGTTTTCAATGACTTTTTAGCCGTAACGTCATCTCTGAATATATACGCAAAATCATTAAAAAAAGTCTAATTGATTATTTGCTTTTTACTTCTCATGCTCTAAAAGTCCGTCAATAGCGGGAGTAAAATGATTCTTTTAATCCCTAGAGAGTAAAAAGTACCTATTTTTTTAAATTTACTTCGAGAGAACAAACTCAAACAGCCTGTGGTAGGTACGCTCGGCCTTTCCCGCGTGGACGGTGTGTTTCCTGCGTTAACGTGTTTGTGGTATCTGCGTCCGGTTAGAAAAAAAATACCGTGAATAAGGGTCGTATTCCAGACTGTACTCAATGCTCAAGTCAGGATTTGAGCAGACTTGAGTATGATTTCAAGTGCTTTGAATCATACTCAAGTCCTCACTTGAGCATTGAGTAGAGTTATAGAATACGACCCCAAGATTGAATTTCTTTTTTCTGGCAATCGAAGTGAAAAGTAAAGTTTTCACCTTGAGACTAAATGCCAATATAAACCCTCGGAGTAATAGAGACCCTCGCTTCGAAAAAAAAGTACTATTATCTAATTGTTGTTTTTGTCAAATTTTATTTATTTAGTAGCTAATTGTGTACATTTATTCAATTTAGATTTTGACCGACTTCAAAAAAAGAAGGTTCTTAATACGACTGTGTTTTTTGTGTATGTTACGTTACGCGATTACTCCGGCGCTTGTCAACCGATTTCAATGATTCTTTTTTGTCGGCAAAGGGTACTTCAGTATTGATCCCATTCAAATTTGAAGCTCAAAAAGTGCCATACTAGGGGAAGAATCCGGTTTCGCGCACTTTCCGGTAACCGATTTCAATAAAACTTGGCAAACAGACGTAATTCCAAAAACGTTCGAGGTCGTTTTTTTTTTGGAAACACGTTTCAATTATTTTGTACGTGAACATACTTGAATTACAATGTTCCAATATATAACAGGCTATGGAAAAATAACAGCAAGGGCTATGTAATTAGCATAGTCCTCAAATGCGTCATGGGCCCTTTTGACATTATTATTTTTGACATTGCTCTTTTTATTTTAACTTGAATTTATTTTTATTTATCTTCTTTCTTTAATTGTTGAAATTTATGTATTTTGCATGTCAAATAAAGCCGATTTAATTTATTTCATTTATGTAGCTTTTATGCTGGATAAAGCCTTATATAGCCCATAAAGATTATCTATTTTCCCATCACCCAGTATAGTTTTCTAGAATGTTCTACTTTCCTAACGTTACTGTACATGCCTAGAAATCCAATACTTGATATAGTGCGTGCGAGGAATGCTAACACACTCGGAAGTTCAAATAAATACTGAACTTTAGTGTTCACTGCATCCCTTACTTCATCTGAAACGCGGCATAGGTGCAAGGATGACGACTAATGTTCTCCTCGGTCATCTACAGATCTACTAAAATGCATTTGTGTTTCGGTCGTACACGTCTATCTCCCCCCTATCTCCCCCTTATTTCAGTATGAGTGTAGTACATATCTCCGATCGCAGTCTTTCGTATTGAAATAACTGTAACAGATGGTCATAGGCTTCTGCATAACCTCATTTTAAAGTCGGTTAAAATTAAATAGGTCACCCCCCACATACCTGAAACCCCCTGTCTGGGTGGATACTGTTATCGGTCTAGACTAGTCCTTTATTACTTCCTAGTATTTATGATGTCCTGGTACCCAGTATGCAACGGCTCGCGCCATTGCCTCTGTCGGCTCGGGAATCTTGGGTGCATTATTATGCACTATACCTATTTTCCGTTCCGTTGTAAATTAAACCACGATTTTAAGAACAATTTTAAAGATATGTTCAAAGGAAAAGCTTTCGGATCGCATAAAAAAACAACATCATTCAATGTTCATTCCACTGTTGAAGACGGGTCTCCTGAAAGGAGCAGTGCGATCAAGGTTGGGAACTTCACAGGTCTTCGAAGAACTATTAATACAAAGATCGAACATTAAAAAACATTCCATCGACCCGGCTGGGTTCGAACCAGCGCCTTCAGCATACCGTACCTTACACGTATTTTAATATTAAGTATATTGAGTATCACAATGTTTTACTACCATGGTAATATATTTACTTCACTAGTTTGCTATGCTCTGGCCACACAGAGGCGGCTGAGGAAACGTTCCGGGCGCGGGAATTTTTGTAATGTAGTACGAGTTTATATGAATCCTGCCACACTGAAACGCGCGGCAGTCGTGTTAAAAATTCCTTCGATCCAGCTGGATTCGAACAGCTAGTTTATGTTCAAATATGGGGTATATTTGAAGCCGAGCTGTTACTACTTACAGCCATTGATTTTTAAATGCCCCGCTTTTCAAACACTCATTGAGAAATTAATACGTAATAAAGTCATTCGTTTTTATGTTGATTTTGACGAAGAAGCCCTATAGCCTATATGGGCTTAGGGTATCTGAAGAGTAATTTGATGTTGTAAACATTTCAAAAGTTTCGTAAACTCCTAAACACTAACTGATACCAAACAGTTGTCCATTTCCATATTGTATTATTTGCATTGAGAAATGCACCTTAAATACACGTAGCCGCAAAATGACATTTCGCATTCGACACAGCATTCCTACGAATAATGAGATGGTTTTCCACCGGTGCACAGTGGGCCCAAATTGATAATTCTCTTCTTGGACATAGGAATAACTTATGAAACTTGTAGAAAAAAATTTTTAGTTTTTGTTTTGTTTGGAGAATAAACATTTTATTTTTTATCTCGAAATGTAGGAAAATGTAATGTATGTGGTTTATTTGCAATATAGGTCCAATCATACTCTATCAAGAAAAAAATAATCCATCTGCAGGTACTTGCGGCTTTACGAGTTAAAAGGTGTCAAAATTTTAGATTTGTTATTTATTTTTTAACACAATATACTAGTTTCTACTTAACTTTCATGTTATTGTTATAACACTCTCTAAATTACAATAAAATAAAGTTTTCTTTAGTCGAAGCTCATGTATTTTGTTAAAAAAGAGTTAGCAATTTTGTCGCACCTTTACTTACAAAGCCGCAAGTACGTGCAGACGGATTATTATTTTCTACATAGAAAATGATTGGAACTACACTGTAAGTAACCCACGCATTACATTGTGTATTTTGAGATAAAAAATAAAATGTATATTTCTCCATACAAAAAAAATAATAATTATTTTTTTCTCCGAAACTATCAACTTTTCAAGAAAATATACAAGAATAAAACTTGTTAGGAATGTCATTATCTATCATATAAAAAAAAATTAGCTCGATACTCTACAAGTTATTCCTATGTCCAAGAATTATCCATTTGGGCCCACTGTGCGGCGAGGCGAAACAAGACGAGAATTGAAGTCTCGCCGGCCTGTTTCCACAGAAAAATGTCATTAATCTCGCCATCGCGCGACCCACCGCGACCTCGCGCGAACTGGCGTTGTAGTTGTGGATAATGAAGATTCAATGCTATTCTGTTCTTATAGTGATAAACACGCGGCTGAAACTATAATGAAAAATTGGGTGGTTTGCCGTTATTATTTAATATTAGACGTCATTGGTTGATGACTTTACCATCTCAGTCAGCGGTGACAATGAGATCTGTAAATGGTCCGGAATGTTGGTTTGTTTGAAAAAACAAATACACGCGGTTTAAATCTGAAAAAATAGGTTCATTTCCAATGCGTAACAATCGCGAAAAGCTAAGAACTCGATGAAATTATTATTACACGAATTTACACATACAATTGCTTCGGCTTCTAAAGAGCAAAACCTACTTGTAGATATAGTAAAAGTACTGCAAAAGCAAAAGCTAAATTCTTCGCCCCTGCAACTAACTTGCTAGCAATTCTTCTTAAACTTATTTTCACTCGCTTCAGAACTAGTGGTGAAAGAGACTCAGTCTTTTAAGGGCTATTAAACGAACTCTGCTAATTTTTAACGCCTCAAGGCTAAACTAGACTTTAAGCCTTTAGACATAAGACAAAAACTTACGTCTAATTTTATTCATTAGACGGAGAATACATTTTAATCAACAGGACCTAACTTTGATTGAGGGGAGCCCCTTCAAATCGTGTTTCAAGGCTAAAGTGAATAGGCATTTTGTCTACAAAACGCGTACCATAGTCGGTCTCGTTCGTCGTTTAACCTCAGGTGCGATTGTATGATTTTTTTAAATGTATCAACTATTCCATAATATACTAGACATGTGTTTCGATCATAAAACTGGCTGATGGTGTTTCGGCCGGCGGCGGCGGCAGTCATGCTATCGACGTAAAATCGGTGTAGGACATGTTTTTAGGTGTTTTTACGTTTTAAGTTCTATTCGGTGTTGTTACTAAAAATATTTAACTTAACCAATGTTTGTCAAAAAAATAATCAATTGTATATAAACGCTCTTTGTTTAGTATATAAATAGGATGTTCTTTTAAATGTAGGGTATTATTTATAGAAATATTTTTAATAAATAACAAAAAAGCTGATCAGTACTTCATGAAACAAATTGTCTCCACGCCGATGTTAAGCTGGTCAAGTTAATCGGCGGCGGCCTGGAAAAATCTGCAGCGGCAGCGGCGTGGCGCACATGTCTATTCCGTATTAAATTATAATAATGTATACGGGACAGCCACTAAGAGATAACCGTCTCTCTACTCTACCGCTCTACCGTCCAGTCTTTTACATTCCATTGTAACTATTTCATATAAAATTTACGCTTTTCAGGGGATTATCGAGAAGAAATATTGGGGCATGACACAGTAACAGAGTCGCAAATTAACAGAACCTTAATGCTACTAGATTACGGTGTCAGGAATGCTTACCTCCACCCTGACTATCGGATATTGGCTGCTAAAGACTACAAAGACACTAGCAGTCCCGGCTCCAACCTGTATAATGTAATAAAGACATGGGAACACTACGACAGTGATCTTGAATACAGTACATTGACATGCGAACTTATATATGGATTGAAATTTACTGATGAGGGTAAGTCACAAAATCCAGTTTAGTGACGGTAAAGCCCCATTTGCAAAAGCTCGTCCAGGGTAGTATAGTAGTACAGTGCAGTAATTGTAAGCCTGACTGCGTTCTGGAACTGAACGGTAAGGGTGCTAGTAAAACTGTATGTCTCTGGGTAACAGACGTAGTGGTAGTGGTGTGTGTGTATGTGTATATATATATATATCTCTCGAAAGGTCCTAAGGGCCAACCTAACAATTTGGTTTGGTTCGATTACCAGTCTGGGGGAAACATTTATAATATTCTTTTATTTCTCTCGTGAATTTGGACGTAATTTGTGGGTGGTTGTCTATCGTGTGTCCATGGCACCGCCGATACAGGGTTTCCCTAGTGCGGGGATATGAGTGTGTGGATTATTATTGGGACATAAAAGTTGATATCAGTTTGTTGCAACCGTTAGTAGAAGAAATTAGTTTGGCGCATAGCCTCCTAAGACCCAGCAAAATACAATGGTAAAAGCACAAAATGCCCAATGTACATTAAAATGTAGTAAATTTAATTACATGCTTCAGGGCCCAGCAAGATTGGCCTTGTATGAAAAACTATTTTTCTAAATACTCTATGGTCATAATAATATAGCGCACATGTAGCGCTGAATTTGAATGAGATATTTTCATAATATATGCTGAGCGTTTACGTGAATATAGGAATAATATTGCCTGCGTGTGAATTTTGATGTACACGGGGCGTTTGGAGGATAATATTAATTCTCTTTTTAAAATTGCAGCTCCTCACGAGTGGCGAATTTCCCGCAATATGTGGGAAGCTAAGCCTTTCAACAATACCGAATGGTCCCCAATAGTCCGTCCCATACGACTGATAATCATTCAAAATTCGGATACCAGCGAATGCCACTACTTTTCCATCTGCAAAATCAAACTACAAAAACTGCAAAAGTACTTCAATTATCAGAACGAGGATATACCGTAAGAATGCTAGGGTGCCTTTAACTTATTTTTACTTACCCGACTAACTACCGAAAGTCAAATGGTGTAACAGAACCTTAATAATCAGTGGAATCTGCTTCGAACTCGACATATTATATTTTTACGTGATTGTGCGCGTTATTTTTGGATAAATAGTTGTATTGTTAGTCCTTCATAATATGTACGAGTGTCATTCTTAATTTCGACAAACACTATTTCGACTCGACGGTACTTCGACTACACATTAATTCGAGGGAACCACAGACCACATAAAACATTCGATAGGTCATTACACCGACGAAAAACTATTTTAGTTCAGTTCTGTCGGAATAGTGACCTGTCGAATACATGTGTTGTCGAAGTAGTTTTCTATCGGTGTAGTAACCTAGCGAATGTTTGTGTTGTCGAAGCAGTTTTCTGTCGGACTATAGTGACCTATCGAACGTGTGTTTTGTCGAAGTAGTGTTCCGTCGAATTAATGTATATATATTAATGTATATATGTATATATCGAAGTACTGTCGAGTCGAGATAATGTTTGTCGAAATTAAGTATGACACTCAATATATGAGTACAAGTTTTTACAAGTAATTAACTGAGATATCTTTAAAAGTCAACAGTAGTATTAATAATAAGGCCATTTATGAACTCATAAGAACTTCGAATATACAAGTAAACGTTCGAACATAGTATTTATACATATATGGCAGGTAGGAAACCAAAATTGGTAAATACCGTGAGGGAGAGACAGGAGTGCCATTACTCCTGTATCTCACTCACGCCGAAAGTATAGACTATGACCAAAATAAAAGATTTGATAAAAATTAACAATAAAAATGTTTTTATGTGCAGGTACAACTTTATAGTCGGAAACGACGGTCGCATTTACGAAAGCAGAGGCTGGGCAGTGCAAGATATAGCGAACAGGCAGTACAAAACTTGTGCCATAGGCATTAGCTTTCTTGGTAAGATTAATTAAGACTATTTACACTTGCACGCATTGCTGTATGACTGTACCAACAATAATTGTAAGTACAGTCCTATCGACCGTATTTGCAATAAGTATTGGGTGAAATTTGAGTAGCTTTTTAAAAATGATAGACCCGCTTTATAACAAATAGCAAATGAAAAATCAATTCAAAACATTTTGTATGACGGTAGTTGCCTAAAATTATAGGGCCAATTTTTTTTATATACATACTTATTGTAAAACACTAATATTTAATAATAATGTTTTTTATATATAAATTGGTGATAACGGCTTAGCTGTGTAAAATTTTAAGTTATCCGGAAGGCACTAATCCATATATATGGAAACATTAAGTTGTGTGGTAAGTATATTATACTAGATATTGACTATTATAATAAGTTCAGTAAAAAATAACTTACAGGTAATTACGACGAAGAAAATTTAAGACCTACAAAATTAACTAAAGCCCAGATGAATCGCACTCTCCTTCTGCTAGAAGAAGGCCTAAAAGATGGTCACCTTCACCAGGATTTCGTGATAGTAGGAGCAAAAGATTTGATACTTACTGAAAGCCCTGGCAGTCAACTGTACAGAGCTATACAAAAATTAAAACGGTATGATGACAAACGCTACTTTAATAAGACGTGTGAAGAAATTCAAATTCAAAAAAATGATTAAGACACGTCAAAGTTAAACATATAGGATTAAGTAGGTAGGTAGGTAGCTTACAAAAAGTAGGTACTATTTTTCACAGTATCCCACGTTGACGTTAAAGGACAGTATCAAAACGCTATTTATCACGCATTGAAAATATAGAGCACTGCAACGGAGCGAAAAACTTAATTAAGACTCGTTATTTTTGTAACTATATTACAACTAATTTGTGTCGCGTATATTATTTATATGTTTATATTAAGAATGTATTTGGAATATATTATTATCTGATATACAATAAAAATGCGTATATGACCTTTTGTCTTCCTATTGTAAGGATCAACTATTTGCAGGCTGGAGTAAACTATTTTATTACCGAATTCCCTTTCACGCATTCCTTTCAAAACAAGCACAGTCACCATATCTAGATCTGAACGTCAAACGCAATCAGAAAGTTCTGCTTATTTTTTCTCTACATATCAAATAACTCAGAAACAAACTTGTTTCTAAAGTGCAGTGGAATTTGAGAACGTTGAAGAATATTATCTTCGATTAAAAAATATTTAAGCACAAGACAACAAAGCTGATTAAATTTTGGGCCTCAAACTAGAGATAATGAGCTTACCTCAAGTAATTTGTAATCGTAAAGATGTAGGCCAGATATACCTTCAAACGTCATTGAATACACTATTTTATCGGAAACAAATTAATGAGTCACACAAATACAAAGGTGCTTTGTCATTACAATATTTTGTAATATTACAAATTATGCTTTTGTAAGAAACCTATTTTATGCAATAGACTGCCATAACCATAATGTATGGTCATAACCAACTGTTGGGCATTTCATAGTTCCAACAAAATCCAATAGATGGCATTAATACGGTTCAAGTTTTTGCATAAATTATACTGATACTGAATTGCGGTTTTAAGACTTTCCTCCGAATATTGAATACTCTGACAGAATATTAATTATGTGATTTAAAACAATGCTATAGGCAGCTGCAAGTCTCGTGATTTTACCTGGCACCTTGAGATATTTCGAATATAGCATTCAACAAACCACTTTGGAAATTTGACTGCATTTGGCGTCATATCATGGTGACGAAATTGCAATAATAACAGCGGCTTTTCTTTGGCAAATTTTTATTGATAGACGGCCTCCGTGTTTGAGTGGCTAGCCCTCACTGAGGTCCTGGGTCCGACCCCCGGCCGAGTCAGCGTAGAAAACAACTATTCTATATTGTCTTGAGTCTGGGTCTTAGTGACACAGTCGCTATTTCCGATTTCCGTAGCACAAGCGGTTTGGCTTCTCGCTTGGGATCAGAGCAACGTTTAGGATGTTATCTAATATTTTTTGTTTATTATTTATGTTTGCTAAACGACGTAAATGGAAACATCTGTGGCATGCGCCCACAGAGATGAGCTCACACAGCCACTTGGTGGATGCCGGAGAACGGCTAGCGACGACGAGGTAGACCAAGAAGGAGATGGGACGGGACGACTTAGATGCATATGTAAAGGAATGGCCTAAAATTGCGTCAAACTGTGGAAGTCAAAAGGAGATCAGCGGTACACAGTAGGCTAATTTACAAAACAACGGAAATATAACAAAAATACTCCATGGTCCCAAAATTAATTCCATCAAGTTAAACACAAACATTATTCACCGTCGGACATAAATAATTATTCCTTTGATCTGACAGGACTCGAATCAACTGAGCTATATCAATCAATCAATCGAGTTTAGGTTTTTTGTTTATGTTTAATCTTTGTATATTCATAAATTACAACAAACTTGTAGAGAAATTTCACAAAAAATAAATGAATATCATGGACGAAAGAAGGAAGAAACATCAGGACATTCAATAAAATCAATATAATATTATTCACAATAACTAAATACATCCTCCTATAGATACTTATGTATAATAGAATTTTTCACTAGGCAACAATACGTCACCTCGCCATTCCTGGTACATGACCGGCGATGGTTCTGTCATACGTGTCCGCCCTTAAGACGAATTTCAATACGAACCTAGAATTTAGGAGGTGAGATGCGAGGGCGCCCCTTGCATCCCGCAATCTGCGCGCTCAAAATTAATGTGAATAGAATGAGAACAGATAAATTTTGACACAGATCCAACATCGACAAGCGTCCGTTGGCAACGGACGGAGCAGCAGGCGGCATGGCGTGTCGTTAAAACGCTGGACACTTTTGAAATTTGGGAGAAATGTGAATTTAATAACTACAGGTTCAGTTGAAAAACAAAATTTAGCTGATTCCCTGTAATACTTAAAGATCAATATCTCCATATAACAATTACGTACAAAATTAAATATTTAAATGTACTTCATTTTTATAGAATAATTCTTAAATAATTCGTTTTAGACTTTTAAAATATTTCCTATAGTAAATAACTAAACTATTATATAATATAATATTGATCTAGCAAAACAGTTTTTCGCGCTTCTCGTCTGAAGACTCGCCTTAAGGTAACGTGAGACCCAAAATGGACGTTCTGACGTTCGAACACACAGAAAACTGGTTTATCGACATATGAATTCAATTCATTTTCTAAATTGATAATTAAAACAGAAGGTACCGATAGTGAACTATGAGGCCGGACACACAATTGACTAAACTTCGCTCAATAAAAAATCACTAATTTCCGCAAAACTTCTCCTACGTTAATCTACGGAAAATAGTTTCATTTCAAATCGATTGTTATTACAGATATTACAATGAAATTTTCTCTCTCGTGTTCCGTAATAAATACGTCTGGGAACTATGAGCTTTTTTTACACTAAGAAAGTATATTTTATTTACCGAAGGCAAATATTTAAATATCGTGGGGGGGGGGGGGGGGCGCGGCGGGACTCCGCAAAAAAAAAAGTATCGCGGATGGCGTCTTCTGCTTAAAACACAAAAGTATTTGTATAA